GTTGCATGTATATCAGTTGCTGTGTGAACATGTTTACTGAGCCCTACCCTACAATGGCCGGCTATTCTTGCTGATTAAAAATCAACTGCCTAACAATGGACGTTGTTCTATTGTTTGTTTTGCAGCTGTTGCCTAGAAACTGATGTTTCAAAGCTGTTCACTAGCAATGGATGTTTCTCTGGTGCCACAGTTCTTGCTTTTAGCAAGTATGCCACAGTATTATCTGACTGACTGAGAATGGTTAACAATCCTGAAGCAGTGTGCAATTATCTTTGTCACTGTAAGAGTCTGTGAAAATAATTCTTCCTCATTCAGAATGTTCTTAACCCAATGTGAGACATTATTCTCTCTCTCCAAATAGTAGAATGGTTAAGAAAAAATTTCTTTTATTCTACCTACTACTGAGCTATAAATATTCAATATTCCAACAAATATTTTGGATCAGTCTTCTTCTGTGCATAGGTTGTTGTGATTATTGTTGTTATGTTTTTGACAGCAAAAATGTTTTTCTACACTGGGTTAATCAAAATATTCCTATATTTACGTACAATGTTCCAGGGTCACAAAGAAAGTTTCATTCAGGTGTGTAATTGAAATAATGGCTATGATACAGGATTTTTAATATAAACTGAGTCTTGAAACCTGGGACTCAGTTTTTGGCTCCAACGATATAAACTTAATGTATAATTCTTTTCTCAGTTCATTTCTTAGAATATTCTATTCTAGTTTTCCCCTGAAAGTGTTGAGCACCAGAACAAATAGTAACTTGTGGATTACTCCTGGTATTAGTAATTCCTGTAAGCATAAAAGAGATCTATATTTGATATACAGGAGTAGTAACGATGAGGCCTTTAAGAGGTATTATAGACAGTATTGCAAGATATTAAAAAATGTCATAAGAGAAGCAAAAAAGAAGCATTATAGTAGACAGATATCAAAATCCAGTAACAAAATAAGAACAATCTGGAATATAACAAAGTCAGTAACTGGGAAGTTTGCCAAAGTGAATTCAGTTCAGGAATTAAAAGTTGATGGACGGATTACTAAAAATAGGCAATATATAGCAGATTTCTTAAATAGTTTTTTCATATCTGTGGCTGAGAATAACATAAACAAAAGTCTTGAAACAAACAATAAGCCATTAGATTACTTGCGGCAAGCTTTTGATCATCCCTTTCCCAGCATAAAATATCAAGCTGCAACCTCAACTGAGATATTTAAAATTATTAAATCTTTAACAACAAAGAGATCGCATGGTTATGATGAAATATCAGTTGAAGTGTTAAAAATTAGTAGCCCCTTTATTATATCTCCTTTAACATATATTAGTAATAAAATGCTGTCTGCTGGCGTATTTCCGGATAGGCTAAAATATGCTGAAATTAAGCCTTGTTACAAGGGCGGTTGCGAGAATGATCCATCTAATTATAGGCCCATCTCCCTCTTAACCTCCTTCTCAAAAATATTTGAGAAGATAGTTTTGTCTAGATTAAATCAGCATATCCATGATCATAATATAATAGTCAATGAGCAATTTGGATTTAGACGTCAATCCTCAACTGCTAAAGCCTCTTACGTGTTACTCAATGAAATACTAGAAGCATTAAATAAACAAAAAGTTGTAGGTGGAGTTTTTTGTGACTTGAAGAAGGTGTTTGATAGTGTGAATCACGAAATATTGTTGAGTAAACTACAATATTATGGGATACAAGGTAGATTTTATGATTTAATTGCATCATACTTATCAGATCGACATCAGAAAGTACTAATAACAGATATTGAAATGAGCTACACTATTAGATCAGATTGGGATATTGTCAGGCATGGAGTCCCTCAAGGGTCCATATTTGGTCCGCTTCTATTTCTTATCTATATAAATGATCGTTCTACAATGTTTAATAGCACAGTTAAACCAGTCTTATTCGCAGATGACACTAGTTTGGTGATTAGTAGCAATAATAACTTACAATATAATAGGGATGTGAATATCTCTTTTGACTGCCTTAATGAGTGGTTCAAGTCAAACCTGCTAACCCTAAACTTCAGCAAAACTAAACATGTACAATTTGCGGCTAAGTCTTGTCCTAATACCGGAGTTATGGTTAATTATTGCAATAATGTGATCCCAAACAGTACCGAGGTGAAGTTCTTGGGTATAATTGTTGAAAGCACGTGTACTTGGAAGGCCCATATATCCCAACTCATACCTAAGTTGTGTAAGGCGTGTTATTCAATGAGGGTTATTAAACCCATCATGCCTACCGAAACATTAAAAATGATTTACTATTGTTATTTTCATTCACTTTTAACCTATGGAATTATCTTTTGGGGCAATACCTCGTTTAGTGTACAAATTTTTAGAATTCAAAAAAGAATAATTAGAATTATGAGTGGGCTAAGAGCAAGGGATTCCTGTAGACAAGCATTTAGGGATTGGGGGATTTTGCCACTCCAGTCCCAATATATATTTTCTTTATTGATATTTGTTGTAAATAATAAGGGTCTATTCCATACATCAACACAGATTCATGGTCTCAATACAAGGCGCGGTTTAGATTTATATTGCCCTCAGACAAATTTAACAGTTCATCAGAAGGGTCCTTATTGCTATGGAATTAAACTTTTTAATTGTCTCCCATTAAAAATAAAGGAAGTAGTACATGATAATAAGGTATTTAGAGTGGCCTTAAACGCCTTTTTACATTCAAAATCCTTTTATACTTTGGATGAATATTTTGGTTGTATAAATGAGTAGTAATTTACTATGTTCATTCAATATTGCATGCATTGTTTGGATGTGCAGTTGTACATTCAAGGATATTGCACTGATACCTGCATTGTATATAGCAAGCTTATACCTTGACTGGTTTTATTTGGTATTGAACATGTAAGATATAATCTCCAACTTTATTGGTACGCCATGTAACAAACATACCTCATTATAGTTGATGGATGTTGTGATCTTTTATGGTTTGAGATATATAAGCTACTAAGTTGAATGAATTTATTATGTAATGTGTTTTTATTACAATTTTAACTTATTTTATTTACAATTAAACATGGTATAGTGTTATGTATATTTTATGTTGACTAGTTCCATTGTTGGAGCATTTGTTGAAGATATTTGACTTGTTCTGTGTCCAGTGGTGTTGGCCTGTAATTGGATTTGCTTGAATGCAATAAATACTATACTATACTATACTATACTAATGAAAGTGTTGCAACTTTCAAATAAATTCCATTAATGTCATAATTAAATTAAGAATATACGTAAGTAAGTAAGTTACAAATGGATATAGAACTTAAACAAATAAGAGTATTGATTTGAAAAATGCTTTTATTTCTCAACGTAATCTTCCTGTATATTGAGGCACTTGTCCCATCGTTTCACAAGCCCCTGAAAACCAGCAGCATAAAATTCTTTGGGCTGCTGTCAGAACCAGGCGTGTTCACACGGCATGGCCTGTCTCATAATGCATGACTGGTTGCATGCTTCTGTTGAATGGCCTTACGATGTTTCCTGAGATGTTACAGTAGAAGTCGCCATTTACGGCTTGTCCTTGAGGCTGGAATGCGGTGAGCAATATGGCTTCGTGATCCCAGAAGACTGTGAGCATCACTTTCCTGGAGGATGGTGTCACCTTAAACTTTTTTTGGCAGGCGACGCACGCTTTGTCTCAGGTTGGTAATGGTGAACCCAAGACTCATCACCTGTGACAATTCGGGCTAGCATATCGTGTCCTGTATGGTAGCGACTGAGATGCTGTAATGCCAGACCCATTCTTTGCATTTTATGTTGGTGGGGGGGGAAGAGAGAGAGAGAAAAAAAGGTTCCTTCAGCCCCAGTAATATACAATGCAGAAGGGAAAGTTTTTGGAACACCAAACATCAAAATGTATGCAGTTCCACCCATGAAACCACCACCAATACCTCTAACTTTTATTGGTATGAGTTCTCCTATCAGAGTCCATGGAATCACAAGAACCCCCAGGGAACAGAAGCACACATATAATAACACACAGTACACATGTCCAATGTTCCATTTCTGTGGTAATTACAACTTCTGTGCTGTTTTCTGAGTTTATAAAGATTCCAGTATATTCAACAGGGTTTATGTGCAAGTAAATACCTGCAATTAATGTTGTATTGCACATCCCTAGTCCTGACAATATATTCAATGGCCGATGACCAAATCTACAGTAAGTTATTGCTGCAACAATACTCATTATAAATCTGTAACAGAAGGAAAAATATTGTTATTCAGATGAATATCAAATGATGCAAGTAATCTGTTGTATCTGTTCTTTAGCAAAATTAAATTTCATATCTATAATCTGATGGGTATAATACTCATATACGTATAAAATACAATGCACCTTATTAATCCCAGAAATACAAGTGGGTCATATTCATCAAATCCTGATCCAAAATTTTCTCCAACCATCTTAAAAACACGGACAGCATAAAATATGATAACATAACCTCATGATAATTGTTGGAACAGGAAACTGAAGAACAATATGATGACTGGTTTTAATATGGAGGGCACCAATATGGAGTTGGGAAAAAATCTGAACCCTTCACTTTTATTCCTCTGACTCTGTTGATGTGTTGTTTCCGTTAGTGTCTTCAGCTCTTCCTGATAACGCTGAAAAAAAGAAAATAAAAAATATTGTTTATTTCTACTGGATAAGTATTTTTAAAACCTTAATACACATCATTTGACAGAAATCAGTACAAAATTTTATGTTTTAGAACTTGAGAACTTCATGTATGGTTTGCGGCCATTACTATGAATGTTACTACATTTAGGGATGTAATGTCATATAGTGCAGTAGATAGTTACCAAGGTAGATGGAGGCAACATCTTTCTCCAAAAAGTTGCCAATTATCTGCAAGACTACACAGCATCACAACACACCTCTACATTTTACTGTTTGCATCCTGTTGTGTATCATGTCACTATATAAAACCAAGGTAACAGTGATATTAGATTGGTTTCATTGATACACTTACTGTGCTAACGGCCAAAAACCACATCACTCCAATACACCCCTGTTCTATCCTCAGAATGGAGGCAACAGGTTCCTATAAAATGTGGGTAATTATCCAGATTACACAGCATCAGATCTGTTTCTGCCCTGAAGATGCAGACAGCATGTTCCTTCAAAAGGATGGTTAACTGTCTACCAGACCACATGGCATTAAACTGACTCTTCAGCCCCAAAGATGGGGGCATTACGTTCCTCCAAAATGTTGGTAAAGGTGTTTAATTTTCATTAGCAATCATATGGAGGAAGACTACCTTTTTAAATTAATTCCGACATAGTAATTCCAGAACTGGACATGCGGACTTTGCATCATGACGGGATTTTACCACGGGCGCACACCAAGAAAACGGGCAACCACAATGCAACGTCAATTTCCAAGAAATGTCGCCAATTTCAAGCAGGCAACTTGTCTCCAAATTAGCAGGCGCACACTGAGGAAATTTACGTTCTATTAGTTGCCCACATAATCTCAAGCATCTCAAGTGGGCGTGTTTGCCCGCCAATTTCGTGCACTTCTCATCTGCAGTGTCAGATGATAGTTCCTGTAATGATATGTTGGTGGATGAGATCGTTGAGACGGCGTAAGAGGAGAAGACAGGTGAAAAGGAAACATTGCATGCAACCGTTCTTTGGCAACAATTTAAATTCAGATGTTTGTACTGTTTCGAAAGAACATAATCACGATCCAGAACTGTTCATTCAGATCATTTTACAGAAAGAGCACTGAAAGCCTTTTCTTTATTAGTGGATCTTGTAGGACCTCAAATTCAAAGGCAAGATACAAATTTTCGTACAGCTGTGTCAGCAGAACCACAGGCAAAATTATAGTTTTGTATATACTGATTTTTATCTTTCTGGACAGCAGACAAGAAGGCAAACGGTTCTGGACTGAATGGTAGCAAGCATCAGTCAAGTTCAATCTCTTCTTAATTTCCTCCTGAATCAGTTTTTGATTTGTTATAGGTGTGTAGTGAAAGGCAATGTGTCTTTGAGATTATTCTTGCACTATTATTAACTTATAACGCCGGACTTCTGAAATGGTGGTAAGCTTGAGCTGGCTGGAATTCATTTAAATGCCAGGTGGTGGTGCGAGTTTAAATGTCCGTTCCTGTTAGGACGCTTGAACAATTTTGTGCATTGTGTTAGAAATGCTGTATCTAACTAAATTTTTATGTTAAATGGACAGAATTAACTTTGTATCAGCAATGAACATTGTGTCGCATATTTTAACGGAAGATTTGAAAATGTTTATACAAAGAATTACACTCTATTTTCAATTTTTTCTTTTAATTTTGATGCGTACAGCAAAAACGACTTTCTCAGTTCTGCACAAAGTTGTTTTGCATTATAAATTCACTACTTTTTGTAACTCTTGACAAATTTTAGCAGTCGCTGGTGCCATAAAACAGATGGAAGCAATAAAATCATTGGTCTTCTGTTAGCACTACTTACACTATTCGGATTTTCGTATCTTTTGACTAAAGGACAGAAGAATGAAAGAATGGCTATTCAGGAGAAAACTAGAGGAGTCCCTTCTTCAGTACCAATACCTTCCGTTATAGGTGCAAGAGATTATTGCCCTTTCTAGATTCGTGAACAGACAGTTTCGTCGTGGCTGAGATAGAGAGTGCGATCTGTTTTCTGTGCCTTCATAGTGAAATCGAATACTGTAGTTTCATTTGAACCTTTATACATCAAGCAGATGACAACAAATAATGCGTGTACATCGAATTTTACTATATATTTTTAACACATTAATCTGCAATAAAAGTACTGGCTCGTGGATGTGTTTGGGTATAACTCATACGTATATTCTCTTTTTTCTGTTGTTCATTTAGGTATCGCTTTAATTCCTCTAATATGGTTTTACTCAAGTCTGTCTGATAATTGCTACATTTATAAATAAATATTTAGGACTGTGCATGCGCTTCTACTAGCGGCGTGTGCGCGAGCTTCCACTAGCGGAGTTTAAATGGCCGACTGGCCAAAACGGAGTAATTTGGCCACGACGACCATACTCATCACTGGCCCGATCGGGGCACTTCGGACGTTAAATGTCGATAAATGAAGTAAGTGGCTAGTGGATCGTAGACGACGTTGCACATAGGCGGCATAAAAGCAAAATCCAAAGTCATATCTATGAAACGCGCAACAGGATGTTTCATAATAACGTCGTAAATACTTGTGTTCATGGGTGAGAAATTCTCTGTCGGGTGGCCTTTTAGTTTGAAGTCCAGTACAATGGAACCTCGCTTAACGAGCAAAATAATTGTAATAAAATGATTTGTTTAACGAGCGACGTTTCGCATAACGAGTGACGGGAGGGCAAGTCCCGGATTGTGCGTTTGCTACACCAGTCTGTGTTTAGCTACAATCGATCTACATCAACGACTTGCACGATTTGGAGTTGCATTGTGTTTCACAGGAAGAAGTTGTGGAGGAGGTAGCAGCAAAGCAACAATCTTCTGGCGCAATAAGAGAAATACTGAATGCATGGGAAACTGTTGCGTCGTACATTGGAAGCGTCACCCTAATAAGGCAGTGGCTATGCGCGGTACAAATTTATTTAATGATAATGCTGTGTCGCATTTTCACCAAATTTTGAAGCGTCGGCAAAAACAAATGACTGTTAGACAGTTTTCTAGTAAAAAAAGAATTATATATATATCATAATTAATAAACTAATTATTTAGATTTTTTTTTTTTTGATTTCTGCAAATCGAATTCGCATTCCAGGTTGGTTCATTCCGCATAGAAGAAATGATGAAGATGATTCACGCTCCTTAACAATGTATATATAATTTTCTTCGAATAAACGTTATACATAAATTTTTTGAGTATTTTTTTCGGCATGGAACGCATCGTAGTTTATATTAATTTATATGGGAAAAACTGTTTCACTTAACGAGTGTTTCGCATTACGAGTAACACTCTGGAACGAATTATGCTCGTTAAGCGAGGTTCCACTTATTTCATGCCACAGAATTGGGCATCTCGGGAACTAGTCCTACCGATTGCAGCGGCTCTCTACGCCTCGTTGTGTCTAGCAGCGCTAACTGTCGGCACACTTCTAGTGTCATAATCATGTTCATAGATGTCAGTAAGTCAACTGTAATGCCATGTTACATCGTACTTTTTCAACCTGCCCAGCTGTACATATTAGTCAGTGTTCATGGTCTTCATGGTGTTTATGGCGTTCATGGTAAGGTATAGTAAGGCAAGCTTGTTGGTTTAATTGTGAGGTAAATATTTGTTGATAATATGAAAGTTTATTACGTGCCGTGGTGCGATATGTAAGTTTAAATCTGAAGATGTGTTGCGGTGTTATAGTACGTCAGCGAAATTGTTATGTTGGCAACTCTCAGATACTGAAATATAATGTTAGAGTTGGCAACATCATAGTAAACAATTTAAGAACTAGGTTATGTCTTGTTACCTAAGTGATGTTTACTGTTATGTGTAACTATAGTTACGTGTGTAACAACAGTATATTTATATTGTTAAGTGTTACTATGGTTATAAGCCTGTATGTATATATAAGGCATACTTCTCTATCAAATTGCTCAGTCTTAATAAAGCAGGAGTAGAGTGAACACTGATTCTCACTTATCATTCGATCCACGTGAAGTAACAAAAATAACAGAAATTACGTTCGGTTTGTTGTAGGATACGCACACGGGAAATGTCAGGTGATATGACGGAAGATAAAAAGGTAAGTTTGTAGAACGAGGACGTTCAGCACACTATTTATCCCCATAAGTTAGAGCGAATTAATAACTCCGCCTTGCGTTAGGATGAAGAAAAACTGTATGGAGGTTGTGAAGGACCTGATGCTATGTATGTGAAACTTATTTCATCTGATGGCCATGAATTTATTGTGAAACGTGAGCATGCGATCACATCAGGAACTATTAAAGCAATGCTAAGTGGACCCGGTCAATTTTCAGAAAATGAAACCAATGAAGTCAACTTTCGTGAAATTCCGTAAGTATATAAAGAGTTCATAACACAAGTTAATTTTTAGTTTATATTTGATTAACTGAAAATAACTAAAATATTCTTTTCATTCTTACAGATCACACGTTTTGCAAAAGGTGTGTATGTACTTCACATACAAAGTGCGCTACACTAACAGTTCTACTGAAATACCAGAATTTCCCATTGCTCGAGAAATTGCTCTAGAACTCCTGATGGCAGCTAACTTCCTTGATTGCTAATTTAATGCCAAATTATCAGTGTTTCCTCCCATATTACTGTGGGCATTGCAAATCCTAGCATCTGAGCTGTAGGAATAGCAGCAAGATATTTCCAAACATGCACATTGGACTAATACATTTGAAATATTTATATGAATGATCAGTACCTTTGTATCTGATTGCTTACACATGATATTTGAAATATGTACCTTTGCTCTGAAAGATCTCCACATTTGTTTTAATTTGCATAGTGATAGTGATAGTGATACATTCTTTACTTTTAACAGAATGTTTGCATGGATGATGACTCATATTTGTTCATTTGAATAAAACAAAGGACATTTGATTTTAGGTGTAATAAAGTTGAAACCATGTACAAAAATTCCTTTCAGGTATACAAATGAATGTGGCTGCCATACCTTCTGAGTCTAATGCAGAACTTATAGTAGGTGGCACTTCTGTTTTGGTGCTTTTATTACCAAAGTGTGATACTAGTATTGCATCAAATGAAAACAGTACTGTTGTATTTGTACTTACTACGGAAGAAACTGATGTCATTTGAAAATTCTTTGGTGCATTAATATGGTAAAGTTTCAGATTTTGAATTCGTGTTGTATGTAATTCATAATACAGTTGAACTCAGTTATAGCAACACCCTGGCTGTTGCACTAAATATTGAGTGGTAATAATTAAATCTCATGTAAAACTCATGCTTTTCCACCTCTTTTTGAAAGACATACATGGTACAACCACTTCATTCATACCATCAGCTGGCACTTTTATTCTCACCCAACTTCTTTGCATGGACAGCAACAAATTTACTGGGACTGTCTCCTGGCATCAGTGTTAGTGACCCATTTTAAACAATACCAAGTGATGTCCATGATGTGTACCAAGTGACTTTGAATACCTCTCATCTAAGTGCCCTCAGAAAATGGAAAAAGTTGCTTCATTAACAGGCACTGAAAGCAGAATAACTGAATTGCAAACAAAAGAGAAGTGTTAACTTAATGATTTAATCCCTTTAACAGTTAGTGTGACTTATTTATGACATAATTTCTGTGGTACCTTGGATGACAATATAACGAAGTTTGGCTGTATAAGTTAAAGAATATCAGTAACCTAATATTATGTGTATTTCATGAATGGTAATATGTATATGCAACATGAAGTGAAGTGAAGTGAAGTGAAGTGAAGTGATGTGATATAGAACTTCCCAAGAGGGTTGGTAGTTGGGCAGCACTATAACTACTTAATGAAATTTTCTGAACAGATGCAGCATGTGAGAATTGAGGATCCCTGAGTGGTGTGTTATCAAGTTGATGTTCTGGGACATAACGCCATGTAGTTCGGCAGAGAGATACCAATTCATTTTCTGCCTCTATCTTCATGATAGAAGTGAAGTTGCACAGGGAAAAATGGTATGCATATATGAAAGGCAGGACAAGAACTGGGAGCTGTGTGTGAACCAATAGGAGGATCCAGTGGCTCAGAAGTTTTGTGAGGTTAGACACAAAGGGGAAAATAATTTGAAACGTGGGTAAGGGAGGAAAATTAAAGGCAGAGATTAATAAAATTAACTCAACAGGGAAGTTGAAGTATAAAAACACTGACACTGCAAAATGAAGGCATATAAGACTCTGAGGAGGTGGTACTCAACAGCGTGATCCATAAGCCCTCTGATGGTTCTGTTGACTCCATTTCCTGGCCCCATGGACTGGAGAAGCTGAGGGGGGTTCGTAGAACGTCTGAACAGTTTCTTCTACCACATTCAATTTGCCATGGAAACATGGTCACCTTTTCTTCTGAAACATCGCTATATGGCTGTCTGGCTCACTGAGAGTATCAGAAATCCACCCATGCAACTCTCTGTCAGAAGTCCGGCTCGCACCACCTCCCATCCAACAAGAACACTGTGATCTCCACCTCATTACACAGGGTCAGGGCTGTTTGTTATAAGGAGAGTTTTCATGCTGAGTTTGATTTTGTTCACTGAAGGTGTGGTCAGGTCTGCATTGGACTAAACATTCTGTAGTGATCAGTGTGAAACAGTGAAAGTAAAGGTAAAGTTGTTTCTATGCTTAATTAAGCACTATGCCATGAAGACATGAATACAGGTACAGTTCCACTATTAGCACTAGATTTAGGTTTATGGCCAGCTTCACGCCCCAGCCATTTTTACCCGGGGGGAAGGAGCTCCAGATACCCATTGGATAGGAGGCTAGGTGGGCCCCAGAGCTGGTCTTGGATGTGGTGATAAAGAAAAAAATTTTGCCTCTGACAGGAATTGAACCCCAGTCATCCAGCCTATGGCCCTTCATTGTACTGAATGAGCTCTATCCCGGTTCCTAGCGTCAGACAGTACCATCTGCATATACAGTAAAACTTGGTTATAGCAACATCGGTTTCTGCGACACCTTGTCTATTGCGTCAAATATTCAATGGTACGAACTAATTCCTCATAAAGCAACTGTTTTTATACCTTGCTTAGTACGACATGCACAAAT